AAATCCAATAACTATAGTTATAGGTATAGAGGTCAGCAACTCTATAATGAGTCACTACTAAGAACCAGAAATATAATAGAAAGAGTATTTGGAATTTCGAAAAGAAGGTGTCCAGTGTTGGCATATGGCTTAAGATTAAAACTAGATACAGTTTTGTCCATTATTCCAGCTGCAGCTGTACTACATAATATTGCTGGAGACATGAATAAACCAGAGCCGCCATTGCCTGATGATATTAATGCCATGAACTGGAGTACCCTGTTGTTACTTATCCACAAGATCGCATTTTGTTTCAAAATCAATTAATACAAGATTATTTTGCGAATTTATAAAATTTAATTTAAATAATATTTTTGATGTTTTATTTAAATTATACTTATTTAAATTAAAATAAAATAAATAGTCACTTCTTGTTTATTATTATAATACCTACATATATTAAGTTTTTCTTTTTCTTCTAACATTTCAAATGCGTAAGAGTCATTTCTTTTACATCCTTTTTATTGTTAATTTCCTGCTCTAATTGTTTTAGCCCTATATGTCTCTTTGTTTTCAATGATACCCTTGTATCCACAAGATTAATTAAATGATTTCATTTTCTGAAAAATTTGAGGAGCGCCCCCTTTTTTTTCAGGATCTGTATCCATATTATTCTCTCTTACCATCAACTGAATCGGTAGTACATGAAATAGAATCGAACCACAGATGATAAAGATTCGAACTACAGATTATAAAGAGTCGAACTCTTAACGTCAAAATATATTTGCGTCACAAATAAGTGTGAAGTTAGTTATTAGCACCAATCTTTTCCATTTTTTAGTCAAATTCCCTAGATCACTAGTTAAATTTTAAACCATAGTAAAAAAATCACGGTGCAAGATTTTGGACACTAATCTCCTGTTACCTTTTAACTTGTCAGTTTATTTAACTGATCAGTTAGAGAAAACGGTGCAAGTGGCCATTTAACTAATAACTAATTTCCTTGGTCTACAAAAATTACCAAAAAATATATGTCGACTAAACTAGTGTCTAAACATGAAATCATTTAAAAAAAATTTGCTAACCCCTAATTGGTCCTAATTATTATAAAATTCACTGATATGCAGTGTGAATCTTATGGCAACGTTGCATTCTTAAATTGTTAAAAAAATATTATTTTAGTAAATTATGTTTAATTTAATTATTCTTAACTTGTTTTCACAGAAGCGTGTTATTACACGTCCCAAGCAATTGGATTGTTGAACAATCTAAAAAGTAAGATTTTATTTATTAGTACTAATTAAACCAACATGTTGCGACATAGAGAAGCAAAGCAAAGCTGAAAAAATAACGAAAAAAAATGAACGAGGAAGGATATTATTATACAAAAAACACCCGTAAAATTAACATCGCAGCCAGCTTGTACTTTCGTGCCTCTACTTTTACTTGTACTCTCGTTGTCGTATTTCGCAAATAAAAAGGTATGCAGAACATCGCAGGCATGTCGAGCGGGTTAATTGCGTATTCGAGTGCTAACAAGCAGTGACGACTGTCGAATATTTAATCCGCTCCCGCGAAGCCAGGCTACGAGACTTGGAGAAGGAGAATGTGGGGAAACTTGAATAAACAGTACCGGAGCGACGAAATTTAAAGCTTTCAAGGCATAGGTATATCGGGTGGTTTATAATGTTAAGCAATGTAAAAAATAATAAAAATAAAAAACTAAAATATTAATAATAAATACCGACAGACAGCTGTTTCGACCTATATTGGTGTAGTGGAGCTTATATACTGGGTTGGTAATCCATAAGAATATTACCAGTAATGGGTCAAGAAAGTTTCTTAAAGAAGTGATTATGTTTACCTGTCTGTTTTAAATAAACAAGAAGGTTAATTTAATTTATTTTCATTAATTCTATCAGGCAAAACACCAAACCGTGTGTTTGTATAAAGAGAAGAGTATATTTTATCTGTGGTATCAGAACATCGATGAATTTGGCTCCAACTAACTGGCTTATCGGAAAGCCAATTTCAAGTTTTTCTATAGCACGACTTTTTCTTGAATTAGATTGTTTCCGAGTAGTTGAATTTCACCATTTAGAAGAAGGCCAGTGACTTACAAACAGACATGTGAAACAGTTTTGACTATTTGGCACTATGCCAGGGTATGCAGCGAATTGATTTGTGTGTGAGTAAACTACATATCAAAACTGTATAAACGATATTTAACTTTTAAATGAAGATATGTTTAAAAGCGATCTCGAAGATTTGTTTGGTGATGCTGCGAAAGACGCTCTAAATAAAGTAATGAACGTTGAAGACAAAGTTTTCCTACAAGCAAAGTTAAGATGCATTTTTAAGTGGCATAAATAGTGCTGACCTTAAAACTACAGCAAGGAATAATAAAAAGAAACAGCGGGAAAAAGGTGCCTACATAAATTATGGTAAAATTGGAATCCCAAATGTCAAATTTTTATGTGTATATTGTGGCGGCTGGTGGATTTTGGGCACACCCATAATATGGATATTATCTCAGTTATTAGATATAAGACCCACATCAAATTTATGTGAGTTTATAATGACATTTTATAGACAAGTTCTGCGCAAGCAGAATTTAAATTGAAGTTTTCGAAAAAAAGTTATTTTTTAAGTGTGCCTCCCAGCCTTCTGCCCCCCCCCAAATTAAGATAATTCAAATTAAAGTGGTACAATATTTAATTCACTGAAGTTTATTGACAAATTTCAAATTTTATTAAAAAATTCAAGTATTACAGAATTTATACCATTTCTATTTTTTTTTAATTTAGTAAAAGAAATAATAAAAATTTAAAATGGTATAAAACCTGTAATACCAGTGAATTAAATATTGTACCACTTTAATTTGAATTATCTTAATTTGGGGGGGCAGGAGGCTGGGGGCACACTTAAAAACTAACTTTTTTTCGAAAAATTAAATTTAAATTCTGCTTGCGCAGAACTTGTCTATTTAATGTCATTATAAACAAATATAAATTTGATGTTGGTCCCATATCTAATAACAGTGATATGGGTGTGCCCAGAATCCACCAGCCGCCACACAAATATAACTATATTTGTTATATGGTGTATCCCATAAAAATTGACCGTTTAATCCGATATATAAGCAGTTTTTCACAGTAAAAGTAAAGAAAACCGCCCTCGGTGGTCAATGCTGCGGACTAATATCTAGTTAACTGTTAAATATATTGATTGATTTTGATTTGCTGCGGACTACAAGTGTGGTCGTGGGTTCGAATCCCACATGGGTATGGATGTTTATTTGTGTTTGTCTAGGGTTAAGTGGTAGAAATTATTCTGAACTTCGCCCTTTGATCATTGATCAATAATTGATTGGTAATCTTCCAAACATTTTTTGGTAGTCTCTTTGTATCGTCTCTTGTGTTGAGGTTTCTTGGTCCTGTGTTAGATGCTAGCCAAGACCCTTGTTTTTTCAAAGTCAATTTTAGGAGAAGTTTTTCGGACGTGTTCAGCTAAGGAATATGATATTTATTGTTTCAAGACTGCGTTACGATGTTCTTCGCGTCTAACGTTGATACGTCTATTGTTCTGTCCCACGTAGCTTCCGTCACAATTAAGGGTTAAGTGCAAGAGCAGCAAATACATGCTTTGTATAAGCTGAACTTCGCCCATTGATTGTATCTCTTATAATCAATAAAGACATTTATTATTATTATTATTATTATTAATTCTTACAAGGAATTTCGTACACCCCTTGTGCCTCCAACTCTATTTTTGGTTTTGCGTTTGGAAGTATTAAACCGATCTTTCTTGGGGCGGTAAATGTTGTCTCAATGTTATGTTTTTTGAGAACTTTGCCTATTCTCTCGGTTGTCCCTTTCACGTAGGGAAGTTGGTTTGTTTTTCTGTAGTATTTCAACGGCGTCGTGGTCTAAGAGCCTTTTTGATTATGGTTTTGGAGAATCTGTTTTGCTGTAGCGTCGTTTGGATTTTCAGGTCTTCTTGTTTCTTGTGGTCATCATCTGCCAGCCTTTACGATCGCGGTTTCCATTGTCAACTTAATCTTTTTTGGAATTCCGTTGAGATGGTCCAGGAATTTCTTTAGTTCCGCTTCTCCGTTGGTCCAGATGATAAGTATGTCTTCTGCGTACAGTTGCCATAACTTTGATTTTAGTGTTGCCGTTTCGATTGCTCATACTTCTATGTATTCCATGAATAAGTTGTCTATTGCTGGGGATTTTGGGAAACTGACTTTGAAAAAACAAGGGTAGCATCGAATAGAGAACCAAACGTATCATCCGTGAAGCCATTGAAATAGAAAAATGTCCAAGAAACCTCAACACAAGAGGCGATAAACAGAGACTAAGCTTACTGTTGCGCAATAATTTATAAAAAAATACATTTAAGTGTATATCTCCACAACGGCTATATACGAGATTTTAATTTTTCAGGCAAAGTAAAGCTAATAATATCACTATTTAAAAAAAAATGTTTGGTAGATTATATATTTTTTAAGTTGAAAGCGCCAAATGTACCAACGTGGGCACTTTATTTTATTGTATGACATTTGACAACGGTCAAGTAACTTAAAACTATTTTCAGCCGGTGACCATTTTTTCCAAAATATGCAATATCTTAATACTATTATCTAACAAACTTATTTGAAATCGTTATTCTGTTAAAATTAGTTCTATATATTCTAATCTTATATATCTAATAAGTTTTAATAACTTACTGTTAGATACCTACTAAATAAATAGGTATATTTATGAAACGATTTTTTTTTCTTATTTGTATTTGGGTTGATGTGTTAAATAAATTAACAGATATCGACCTAAAATAAACACAGCTTAATTAAATCCCAAACTTCAACCGAAAGCTTAATTAAATTCGTTAAAAATTGATAGTCGAGCTTTAAATTAAATAAATTAATTAAAATCCGTTTAAATCGGTTTACTTATGAGCCTGCGTCTATTGGCTTACAGTCAGCGAAATGGATTGCTTTTGTGGATAAAAAAACTCACCGAAAAAACTCTTTGCAACTTGACGGGCGTTTTGGTGACAACTTTTGTTGTTTTTGTAGACGTAGCCACCGTTGTTTTTGTTGTTGTGGCAGCACTGGCAGTTGCTTGCTGGGACTGTCTCTGAGTCTGCTCCATGATCTGATGTATCAGATCTAGCTGCTGTTTTGTTAGGCCGTCATTATTACCCGTACTGGAACCCTGAAATAATATATCATTATATACCTAATAAAACAAATTATTTTTTTCTAGAAAAAATGGAGAGCATAAAGCCTAGAGAAGAAAGTCCTAGAAGGTAAAAGGATTATCCAATTATTAAAAAGAAATAACTTAAAATAAATAAACAACTGTGTTTTTTTATAGTTTACTTAAAAACGAAAATATGGTAGGTAGTCACCAAATAAATCAAACCACCTAGATAATCACAAGTTTGTAATCCAGTGTTGCCGGACGAGACGAAAATGACAACTTGATAATTTTGGTTAAACACAGTCTAAATTATAGTTTATTATTGCAAAACTGTGCGGTAAAGTTAACAAACATTTATATGGCACTCCTCTAACTGACTTAAGAACTTCTGCCAAAAGACCATGAACATCAAAGAGACTTCACCAATTGGATTATCATGAATGCCAATTTTTCGGGCAAAATCATTTATAGTGACGAGACCCATTTTCATGGCGCATTTGAGCTTATAAAATTTAAGAATGATTCATCACAAGCAAATGCATACCTAACGTATCACTGTCTGGTGCACTACACATGTATAGACCATTTTCCTTTGAAAAACTTTGCCAGAGGATTACGCGTGTGCCACCAAAGCCTTGGCGGCCATTGAATGGCATAAGTTCATACGAGAAAAAAATCCTTAATTTTTCAATGTCTCGTTATTACATATGCCTTAATTAAATACATGGGCTTTATAGGAGATTTAATTAACGCATATCTAATAATAAGAATGATTTTTTTTCTCAAATTCACTTATACCTGTAAAAGGCCGTCAAGCCTTTGGTGGCACTAGCATAATTCTCTGTCAAAGTTTCTCAAAGGAAAGTGGTCTAATGGTTAGTGATACGTTAGGTATACATTTGTTTGTAATGAATCATTTGTAGATTTTATAATCTTAAAGTCTGCCAGTTAAAGAAGCCATCAAGGTAAAAATGAGCCTTATCACCAAATAAGATGTTGTCCAAAAAATTGGCATTCACTTATTACTCATGATAATCCAATTGGTTAAGTCATGATAATCCAATTTGCCTGTGTAAATTTTTTAGTGTAGGGGTAAAAATATTAGAGTTGATTTGTAAGTGTAAAAGTTACACTACAAAATACACTAGGTAGCATTTAGTGCTTATTAACTTTATTAAACACATTTAAAGAATATGAACATTATTCATTGGTAAATTCACACTATTTATTATTAAAATAAATCAAAAGGGTAGAAAAACTTAAGGCGAGTGTTTATTACCCCTTAATGTGTTAAATAGTGACAAAATGTACACTACAGTGCATGCCAATTTCTTTGTCTGTTTTGATGTCACTAAGTGCTCTTTTTTCTTTACACTACTAGTGCACATTGTATCACAATTAAATTGAAATTACACCAATAGTGGCAAAATAGACTAGTAATAACCGAAATGCGTTTTAAAATGTTTGGTTGGTACCTATCTACCTACGCAGTGCATATCCGGAGATACCGCGTTGTGGAAGTGTGGCATTCTTATTTTTTTGGTAAGTATTATACTTCCTTTTTCTTTAAGCCTTAATACTCAATAAATACCAATATGTTAAAAGGATGTCCATACCCGATCTATATTATATATCAATAATTTTAGGCAGTAGGTCGGGTACTTGTAACATTAATAATATAAATACATACACACTTGATTTACTTTTTATTTTTAAGCGTAATGGTTGTTATATTAACCTATACCTAAATTTGTATTAATATTATGGAAATTTGTACACGTGTGCTAAATCCCCGACATACAGCCGCCTGACGCCTCTCTACCAATGGGATCACCCATTTTTTATAACAGAAAAATGGATTACTGATGAATTCTCAAGATAATTCATTGCTTACAAGTTGACAGCCAGTAAAACATTGCATTGATCTAAAACTTTTACGTTTTAAGGAACCATTTTGCTTAAGCCAACCATACGACTCAAATATAAAATTATATTTTAAAAGGCACCGATTTTGATAATTGTCATAGATTTTTGTTCCAAATAAATGTTTCTTTTTATTTACCTTTTCGTTTTATTCACTACCACCAATAGGTTATACTCAAATAATAGTGTTAATTTACACTAGAAGTTTGCACTTAAAGAGTAAAAGTACCTTTCTAAAATTAGAACTTTTCCAAAGTAGTGTTAATTTACACTGAAAAAAGTGGGATTTTACCCAGGAAGTGTAGAAGTACACGATTTTAGGTACTTTTTAATACAGTGTAAAATTACTTTATCCTCAGTGCTATAGTGTTAAATCACACTTGCTTAATTGGGGAAAATTACACTACAAATTAACTCTAATTGTAGTGTTATAAAACAACACTATTTAGTGTGGACCTGTGTGTACTCTAATTAGTGTTGCTTAGAGTTGATTTTTTTTACTGTGAAGTAGCTGTTTAAATGTCAAAATCTTGTACACGATGACCAATCGAACCCTGGACTCCCCCACACTTTAGCGAACTGCAATGCTGTTTTGTTTTAACGACCACTACAAGCTGGTGTGTTTCACATCCATAACAAAACCAGTACTTTCGAGTTTTCTGTTAACTTAACAGTTTACACATTTGGAATGTTATTTCTACCAAAAATTAGACTTTTCAAATGTTTAACCATAAGTACGCGTTGTTTTAGCGTCATGAAGGATATTTACTAACATCGAATCATGACAGTCAAAATGGCGAGCAATTTAATTCTCAACCTTTAATTTTTTTATTAAACCATATTATAACCTTTCCTTATAAGTTTTAAGCCAGGTATACTTATATGGTTTAAAATATCCTTATTCAAATAATTCTCAATTTTTAGAAATGGCCATATTTCAAAGGTAAGTATGTGAACATTATTACTGGGATTACTGTGGAGCTCCAAAGGTCCCGACATTATTTTCCTAAGCATTACAAATGACGGCCTTCAGTCTGGATACACGGACAGGTGTATTTTTCTTTCCAACAACTAAGACTAATGGCTTTAGACTTGCCCCGCGTCGCTACCCGTTCCTTACAGACGACAGACAATTTACATTTTCGAATGGAGAGAAAATGAAAAGAGTATAAAAAATCGAAATTACGAGTCTATGAATTAAATTTAACGGCGCTTTTGTAATCTGGGTCGAGCACCTTTTTAGAACGACGTCTACCGTAAGTAGCGGGTGCAAGTTAAATCATTTTACGCCACGACGTTGCAATCGGAATGGAAATTAAAGTTTTTGAACCGAGAAGGCTTGTAGGTGGCTAAATTTAAAACAGAAGTTTTATTATACGTCGTTAAAGGGCACTTTTCTGCATCTCGAGTGATTCTAATTTTAATTATTTGTTGCTTTTAGTGAATATGTTCAGGAGTTTTTGCAGTAAAGGATTCAGTTAACGTGTTAGTATATGGGTGATTCTACAAAAGTTACACAACTTGATGTCATCAGTCAATAGAGTAGGTATTATAATATTTTTGTAAGTATTTTAGTATATTACAAAAGATGCAGGTTTTTTTCATTTTTCCACCCAATTTTAATGTATTTTTTCAAAAGCACGTTTGTATAAAAATATAATAAATATTCAAAACATCAGTACCTTGGCGTGTCACAACTCCTGACTCAAATATTCAAGTGGTTTTATTTTAAAATATATTCAATTTATCTTAAATTTTTTAATTTCACTACAAACTATAAAACATTAAATAATGTGTTTTTCATATTTTATCATAGATTCGAATAATAGCAATTAAAAAAAAATAATAATCTTTGTACTCACTTTTACCCGTCATTTCTGTGTCCAATGTTAAAATTCAAAATTTCTGCGAAATATTGAAGTTTAAATGTTAAGTCCTCGTTTTAACTCAAGTGTTGGTAAAAAAAATTACCTACAGAGCCCGCCCTTTGCACGAAAGTCATATTGAAAACAATGCAAGCGGCGAAGTTGTGGTGAATGCACGTATAGTTCCAGTCAAAATGTCAGTACTGTGGTGAGTAGTTATTTTCTTACGTATATATATTTCGTTTTAATTTATATAAGCTATATGTGATTTGTTTATAAGTAGCATCCACTAATAAAAAATATCAGTAAAATACTTAATTCCGAATTATAATCTCAAATTTCTATCCCATTCATCAGTACCGTGTCGTCAGTTCCATGTTCGATGTTTCGGTTATCTTTTTTTTGCAAACTTCAATTAAAATTCTGCTTGCGCAGAACTTTTTTATTTAATATCATTATAAACTCATATAAATTTTTGAAAATAATTGAGATATCGGTATACCCAAAATCCACCAGCTGCCACTGATGTGTGGTATTATTTGATTTTAAGATATTTAATGTATAATATGCTCAAAGTTGCAATAAATCTTATATTTTCCAATAAATTATGTATTTAATTAGTACCCTGGTATACTTGTCACATCCCTCGCATTAAAATTTAGAAAACACAGATATTTCAGAAACTGTTTGAAAAACTGACTGGCCCGGTCTGAAACAGTATATTTATTATATTATCTATGTTCTTATATCAAAATACTGTTTAATTTTCTCCGAACACTATATAAACAAAATGAGGTCAAAAGTTGCCCAACTTTTGTAGAATCACCCATATACTATAATTTATAATATTTAAACGCTTGGGCTAATTTTTAAAGGATATTTAGCACCGAGTTTCAAAAACTAAAATTATATAATTTAATTACAAACTTTCAATCTGAGTACACAGCAGGTGGATACCACTCTAGTGCATGAGCTAATAACGTTCAGAACGCGTGGGTTTTCTTAATTACCGAAACCTGTTGTGACTGTTTTTAAAAGTGAAACGACACGAATTTTGCGTCGTGCACAGCCATGGCTGTTTTAAAGATGCCACAATGCGTTGTGGTCGATTTTTTCACTCAATGAGCATTTTCGGTAAAAGATTTTTGTTTTTTTATAAAATTTACTCAAGATGCTTTTCGCGAAAAAATTTTGTTTGGGAAAGGGAAGAAGGACGACGACATT